TCTGTCTTCAGAACATGTCCTGTTTTGTTTTGAACAGTCACCAGGAATCTTGGGAAGATCAGGTTTGACAAACATCCATCATCATCATAGTTTGGTTTTGACAGTTTTCCGAGAAAACATAACGGAACAAATTATATTTTCTTTGTGACTCAGAGATTGGTCTTGATCTTGGTAAATATAAACCACGAGGTCCGCCATGACATGACAATGACACGGGCACCTGTCGCGTCATGCCCGCCAGCAGACATCAGTGCACACATGCAAATAGTTGTTAGGAAGGCCTATCTAAGTTCAACCGGTTCACATATTCCTCCGCCTTCACGGCCGTGTGATTGTCTGTTTTGATGAAGTACTCCGTGGCGAGAAGATAGTTCCCTTGATAAACTACTGGAATGAGATGTGTACTGAATAACCTCAACGATGTATTATCCAAATTCAATCAACACGTTTTGTTCTTGGAAAACCTGCGGCTGCTTCTCTATACCGCAGACCCTATTTACTGTGCACGAGCTGCACGTTTTGCACACTTTCCATGTGAACGATCTACGAAGAATTCCCAATCGCCCAGGTGCGATAGCACTTGCTACGACGCTTCCATAAGAAACGAAATCAACGACATGTCGAGAAACGCTTCGTTTAGAGTATGTGTATATATAGCCACTTAGAAGACAGCTTACTGTACTTGTGGTGCCACCTGTAGTTAAGCCATTATGCAAAGTGGTAATATGCTGCTGTCCTAAGAACAACTATCAGCATCGTAGTCTGGCAATGCTGTCAGCGCATTAACCGGGTTATCTGTTTTAGGGTTTATGTTGCAGAATAGACTGAGAAACAATTGCGCTTTGATTGTTCTTTCTGCGGTTTCTTTACTAACCATGAACTGTAGGGGTTCTTAGTCTAATCGTTAAGGCGTCGTTCTTCAAGCTGAAGACATAGGTTCGATTCCCACGTAGATAATGTGTGCACAGCCCATTCTTTGCTTTCTAGGAGCGGTGGGGAGCCTAGTGGTTAAATCGTTTAAGCCCATTCCAGGTGTCTCTCGCTGTGATATTGCTGGAATGTTGCTAAAAGCGAGGTAAAACAACACTCACTCACTCCCTCATTCTTTGCATTCTGTTGCACCAGAGGTAAGGTGTAAAATGGTTTAGATAGCCCTTTAAGTGTATATTAGTACGGACTCGTAAGATCCAGGTTAGAACCTAACTAGAAGAAATAAAGACCAATGTCTCACTATCACAATATTACACACAAAAGCCAGTGTCTCATCAGAACAAATGAACACCAACGTCTAAACCGAAGAAATGAAGACCAATGTCTCACCTTCAAAACAATACACAAAGACCAATATCTCACCAGAACAAGTGAAGACCAATGTCACACCTTCAAAATAATACACAAAGACCAACGTCTCACCTTCAACATAATAGGCAAAGACCAATGTCTCACCAGAACAAATGAAGACCAATGTCTCACCTTCAAAATAATACGCAAAGACCAATGTCTCACCAGAACAAATGAAGACCAATGTCTCACCTTCAAAATAATACGCAAAGACCAATGTCTCACCAGAACAAATGAAGACCAATGTCACACCTTCAAAATAATACACAAAGACCAATCTCTCACCAGAACAAATGAAGACCAATGTCTCACCTTCAAAATAATACACATAGACCAATGTATCACCAGAACAAGTGAAGACCAATGTCCCACCAGAACAAATGAAGACCAATGTCTCACCTTCAAAATAATACACAAAGACCAATGTCTCACCAGAACAAATGAATACCATGTCAAACCTTCAAAATAATACGCAAAGACTAATGTCTCACCAGAACAAATGAAGACCACTGTCTCACCAGAACAAATGAAGACCAATGTCACACCTTCAAAATAATACACAAAGACCAATGTCTCACCAGAACAATTGAAGACCAATGTCTCACCTTCAAAATAATACACAAAGACCAATGTCTCACCAGAACAAATGAAGTCCAATGTCTCAACAGAACAAATGAAGACCAATGTCTCACCAGAACAATTGAAGACCAATGTCTCACCTTCAAAATAATACACAAAGACCAATGTCTCACCAGAATAAATGAAGTCCAATGTCACACCTTCAAAATAATACACAAAGACCAATGTCTCACCTGAACAAATGAAGAAGACCAATGTCTCACCAGAACAATTGAAGACCAATGTCTCACCTTCAAAATAATACACAAAGACCAATGTCTCACCAGAACAAATGAAGTCCAATGTCTCACCAGAACAAATGAAGACCAATGTCTCACCAGAACAATTGAAGACCAATGTCTCACCTTCAAAATAATACACAAAGACCAATGTCTCACCAGAACAAATGAAGACCAATGTCTCACCAGAACAAATGAAGACCAATGTCTCACCAGAACAATGAAGACCAATCAAGAACAATTGAAGACTAATGTCACACCTTCAAAATAATACACAAAGACCAACGTCTCACCAGAACAAATGAAGACCAATGTCTCACCAGAACAAATGAAGGCCAATGTCACACCTTCAAAATAATACACAAAGACTAATGTCTCACCAGAACAAATGAAGACCACTGTCTCACCAGAACAAATGAAGACCAATGTCACACCTTCAAAATTATACAAAAAGGCCAATGTATCACCAGAACAAGTGAAGACCAATGTCTCACCAGAACAAATGAAGACCAATGACTCACCTTCAAATTAATTCACAAAGACCAATGTCTCACCAGAACAAATGAATACCAATGTCAAACCTTCAAAATAATACGCAAAGACCAATGTCTCACCGTCACAGTAACATACACAAAGACCAATGTGTCATCACCCAAACAACAAATTAACCCAACCTTGCCCCACTATCAAAACGATCAGTCAAAACAAGGTTACAGTTAAATAGCGTCACCATCATCAAAGCAAGACTCGCTGAAAATATATATTAAAATATCTATATAAATATGAAATAATCGATGTTCTTTAACTTATTTCGAGTAGTATAAATACAAAAATAACCTCTGAATACACAATGCCATTTAGAAAGATGTCTTTGTAACATATGTTTTATTTGGGATTACATTTTCAGTTTTACCTGATGATGGGGCCAGAACAAGCCCTGAAACGTTGTACTCGAGAATAAAAAGAAGATGTAACCCAGAAAAAATCTCTATGTTCATACATTTTCTTAGTAAAGTACAGATTCTCGTACTTTTGTCTGCTGGCGATTAGGTGCCTGACTCTCAGTGTGAGGGTCCGAGTCCCTGATGGGACTGAACTCAACAACAGCACTAGAATCTGTACTTTACTGAGAAAGTGTAATCCAAACTATAAGATATGTTACATAAAAAAACTTCACACAATGACATTCGCATACGATTAGAAAAAGATCATGAATTAATTCTTTGTATTTTATAAAAAAATGACTACCCCGACTGATTGTATTTGCAACCCAATAAATACAAAATTAGAGAACGAAATCAAACTCTATTAGCCTTAAGCACTATCTTAAACACTATCTTAAACACTATCCGTTGTTAACTGTGAAATTATTTGCCCGAACTAAGCCAAAGTCTGTAACGAAAAGAGAAAAGCCCCAACCATGTCTAACCTCCTCTCGTATGATGCCACTCCCTACTGTCACGGAGCATTAAGCTCAATGATAAGTCTATAGGATGGATGTATGTGACGTTGAAAGTGTTCTACCTCCACTAAATGCGGCCATAAACTACCGCACTAAACCAATACGCCAACCCCGTCTTGATCCATAACTCTAATATAACAAGGTTAACCTTTGCCCCTTGACGATCACCAGGGCGTTTTACTACTGAAGCCTTTAATCTCCCCAACTTTTATTAAGATAAGCAGTTCTCGTGAGCGTTCTCGATTTATCAATTACGGATACTTTCATCGCCGACGCGTGGTTTAACCAGCACTCGGTCGTTTTGAAAACCCAACCGAAAATAGACGCTGATATGTAGTTTGCGTAAAACGTGGTTTATTCGATTAGAAAACCTTGTACCGTCCACCTCCACTGTCTGATCCGACAATTTTCTAATCCAATTTCAAAAAGATAAAATCAGGAATCATGCCATTCAATGTCCCCATGCTTCGGTAGCGGAACAGTTTACGCAGGTATCGGGGTGCCAGTGTCGCCGTCTCCCAACATTTACCATTCCCTACACGCAACAGACCATTCCTTCATTCAGACAACGTTGAGTTTTGTTTATGCTTTGGTACGCTTGGTTTAGTGGAGATTGGATATCAAAGAAAACGGGTTGGTTGTTGGTTTGCATTTACCAAACACATATCCCTCCTTCCCTGGATGAACTCACAGATACCAGATAGTGTGAAAGCACGAACTGCGTGTCCGCCAAATAAGCTTTCGTATTGCTAATACCTTTCTAGTCTCTTGCCGGACGCTATACTCCCTTCTACATGTTCCCCAATCTCCCCCTTCCCTTCTATCCACGCCTGATCACCGATACCGAGTTAGGCCTCATTAGAGTAGTGTTCCCTTTGATCTTAGCCGCTCTTATCTCTTTGGTCGTGGAAGAGCTCGGCCCTTGCTTACCATTGGAAGATTTTTTCAAAGGCGGGAGTTCCCTTCTATCTCTTGTACTTCCAGTTTGATCAAGCCTTTGATTTGCGAATCAAGTGATCTTATTTACGCTTAACCTTATCTTGCTTGAGACCCTATTGGATACGTTTGTACAGTTTTGACTACGAAGATGACAAAAACGTATAAGGTACCATGTGTAACCATTTATCTGAAAGAGCTTTTTTTCCTCTTTCATATGAATACCCACTCATGTGGTGTTGCTGTATGACTCTTGGATTTGCGAATTGGGTAGACATTTGTGTAAAGAGTGATTTTCTCTCGTTTATATGAATACCCATACGTATAGGCTTTCTTTAGCCTGATAACAGACGAGCCGTGTTGTTATGTCATATTTATTGCTCTTTTCTCTTTTTCAGGCTTTGTAACATTATGGAGTTCCACCATCTTCTTTCATGGATGTGCGTGGTGATTGTGAACGCGGGCCCTGCCGACAGAGGAAGGAACGATATCACTTTAAATACTGAAAAACTTAACGAACTCGGCAGCCAGGGACAGTTGTTGTTACGTCACATAGCGATTACAACCCACAGCTGCGGCATAAAGGAACAACCGAAATTCAGAAGGAAGCTGCTCCGCCACAGCTCCGTCACATGCAACGACGGCAGCCCAGCCGGGTGAGTAGACCGGGTTATTAGCCTTGAGTGACTCTTCTATCAATGAGGTATAAAAGTTGTTAAATTGTTACCAAAGAAACCATGTAAACAAATAGTTCCTTCATGAAAGCGTCTCGTCTCGCCCCAACAACCATTAAACTAAGTAGCGTGGCAAACCTAAGCGATAGTTATGTTTCTCCTGCTGTGAAAATTCCTGCAATTACTACGCCAGACCTAAGGGCCCCTAATCAGGATCGCAAGGTTAAAAAACGATACTGTTGCCCTACGACTAGCTACCTGTTATTGTTGCACATCACCGGCCCGACATGAAAGGCGTACTTGAAATTCCGCATTCGACAGCTATTACTTCATGGAAGAAATGATTCTACGGATAATGCTCGTCACATGAAACCTGCTTTCAGGTTGTGAGGATAATGAATGGGCACCTCAGATTGTTGTCGTTTTGTATTTATTTGTTCCTTCTCGCGATGTACGTGATTACCGCTTACGTTACAAGTGGCTGTAATTATAATAGAATGAATAGTGGGAGTGTTGTGGTAGTTAGTGATATTGGAAACTAGATTATGATGAACGGATACAATGAACTGATTTTTTGTCCCGAACCCTTGCAGAAAGTTAAAACAGAAAGTTATAACGAACTGAGGTTGTAACGAACTTTCTAAGTGGCCCTTGTGGGCGGATCCGGGGGTGGGGGTGTTTCAGAGGGTTCGACCCCTTTCAAAATTCCTGGATCCGCCCATGACCCCCATTGAGTCCGTTAAAACTGTAGTGAGTGAGTTTAGTTTTACGCCGCACTCAGCAATATTCCAGCTACATGGCGGCGTTATAAATGTACTTTACTGCAGTGGCATAGCATTAGCAGAGTGAGTTTTGAACACCGCTTTGAGCAACTTTAAGGTTATAACAGTGTGCGAAATTTACGCTGGCCTTGTGGTCCCTGGCTAGTAAAAATTCATCAGGAACACTAAACGATAAGTTTGCAGTGGTCCTGATGGCCAGTGAATTTTGTATTGATAGTTAAGTAAATCTACGAATGTTATTTTGGACCAGTGAAGTACAGACAGGACCACTAATTATTGTCCACTCACTGGTTCTGTGGTTTAGTGGGAAATTTTGACAGGTTTCTTTCCGTGTTACATCACAGCGTCTCATGTGATGGGAAAGCCTTCATTCATGTACATAGGTGGCGTCTACCAGTTTGTTTGAATGAATGAGTGAGTGACTATGGTTTTACGCTGCTTTTAGCAATATTCCAGCAATATCACGGGGGACACCACAAATGGGCTACACACATTGCAACAATGTGGGGAATCGAACCCGGGTCTTCGGCGTGACGAGGGAATGCTTTAACAACTAGGCTACCCCACCGCCCCTCCACTTTGAAACCTTTGATGACAAAAGAAAACGACCAAGGCGAATGTGGGATTCGAACCATATTTAAATATATGCCTTCAAGAGTGGAAAAGAAACAGAACAAATCTCATTTAGCCATAATAACGACGACATAATACCTATATTATTAAAGTATAGTTGTATCAATAGTAGCGCTAGTAGTGTTGGAATGTGGGTAGTAATGGTGAGGTGAGGTGATGTGACATTGGGTTTAACGTCGTGCTTGAGAATATTTCGCTCATATGACGACGTGCATGCGTGTGTATGTGTATGTGAGGCTGCTTGTACTAGCCCAGACTTAAGCTGGTTTTATAGTGCTAGCTCACTGAGATACCATGCCGCAGTGAAGCAGGAATACCCCACTCAGACTCATTATACTGACTCCGAGCCGACCAGTCCTTGTTGTACCCGTTAATACCGAGCGCCAGGCAGGGACCAACAAGTACCATATTTTAACGTCTTTTGGTATGACGCGGTCGGGGATTGAACCCACGACCTTCCACTCTCCGGGCGGACGCTCTAACCACTGCACCACGGAGGCGGTCGGTCGGTAGTAATGGAAGACGTAGTAACAGTGTGTATGTAGAACATAGTTACACTCTTTGTAGTATTTACGGTAGTAGCTGCATTAGTATGGGGTACCAGTAATGGTAACGGTGTAATGACACATGTTAGTAGTGGACGACGTCGTAACGGTACAGTGGTGGAAGTAGTTGTAGTAGAAGCATCAGTAGTAGTGAGTGAGTTTAGTTTTACGCCGCACTCAGCAATATTCCAGCTATATGGCGGCGGTCTGTAAATAATCGGGTCTGGACCCAGTGATCAACAGCATGAGCATCGATCTACACAATTGGCATACGATGGCAGTCCCGTTACGACAAGCATGGGTTACTGAAGATCAATTCGAACCCGGATCTTCACGGGATCAGTGGTAGTAGCAGGGGTAGTAGTAGTAGTAGTAGTAGTAGTAGTAGTAGTAGTAGTAGTACTAGACGCAGTAGAAGCAGTGATAGTTTGTAGTAACGTTACAATCAGTAGTATTTCAGCTATATCACGACAAGAGGGTTTGGACCAGACAATCCAGTTATTGACAAAATGAGCATAGATCTATGCGACTTGCATACGATTGCACCAGCAACAACATTAGCAGCAGCAGCAACAACAGTAGTAGTAGTAGTAGTAGTAGTAGTAGTAGTAGTAGTAGTAGTAGTAGTAGTAGAAGTAAACGATTAACGCCGCATCCAATATTCCAGCTATATGCCAGCGGTATGTAAATAGTAGTAGTAGTAGTAGTAGTAGTAGTAGTAGTAGTAGTAGTAGAAGTAAACGATTAACGCCGCATCCAATATTCCAGCTATATGCCAGCGGTATGTAAATAATCGAGTCTGGACCAGAGAATCCGGTGATCATTAAATTCAGTGTCTGTTTTAGCAGTTACTCAGGAGTGTTCAGTTCACAGACTGGACATTTACAACTATACCAACACGTGGTACTGAGTAAAAACATAAGGTGACCTAATGCCCGACACAACACCTTACATCGCTTATTCTGAAAGATGAAAAGACATACTATTTTCCAGTCTACTATTTGCAGATTAACATTTCATCAAGTAATTGTTTTACAACATTCAAAACAATTTGTGCCACAAAGTCAACCCTTACTGCACAATCAACCCACCGAGCACTTCAATAGTCCTACAAAGTTTTGATTCAACACACATGAGATTAGCCGGGTCTGATAGCGGGAGTGTTTCGAAAACACCGTGCCGAAAGTCAAATCTGTGTCGAACAATTGTGTCGGAAAATGTTTCTGCCGTGGGACCCAGCCCCTAATTCCTTCCAGGCGGAGTCCAGGCTTGAGCTAGTCTTTCATTCTTCTTTTATTCTGTGAAACAAGATGGAGGGCATTAGCGTTGGAAATCCAAACTATACGATTAATTTCTTTCTCTTTTGTAACAAAGCATATCCTGCGGTTCTTTGATAACTTAAAATGATAACAGACCCCTTTGATACTGGGCGAGTGATAACAATGTATATCTTTGATATAAGTCATTTCAAAGGGTCGTGGATTTGTTTGATATCGTGGAGACCTTATGTGATGTCATGCATGATGGGGCGCTTTGTTGGGGAGACATTTCGACGGCGCTGATATCATTATACACAGGCCCAACGCACTGGCCATACTTCCAATAGTACAGTAGCTACTGATCACATTCATCAAGGATATCTAAAAGTTCATCGCTCAGATATCATTGCGTGATATCGTTACAATAAGTGAGCGACCATTTTATTTTCATAAACATGGGCTTGGGATTTAGGGTTCAAGATGAACAATTATATCATGGTAATCGAGGTGTATCCTTTCAACTGATTGTATTTAATATGTCAAAGAATTTATCCAAAGAACGAATATTTGAATAAGATATTCATCTCTCAGAGGAAAGAAAAACATGTTTTCGCAACTTAAAGAAAGAATTTATTTTATAAATCAGCGTATTACCTGTAGACTGTTATTGAGTAGTCACAGTGGTCGTAGTTGGCTAAGTCATCGTATGGCGAGGATGTTGCTTGTTACAATGTCCACAACATTCATTTCTCCATTAGAAGGGGGTCGTTTCGTTTGGCTGAATATTGCTGACTTCGACGTTGAACAGTATTCATTCATTTCTCAAAGTGGCTTTTTCTTGAAAAGAGGAATCAGTTAAGTGAGTGAGTGAGTTTAGTTTTACGCCGCACTCAGCAATATTCCAGCTATATGGCGGCGATCTGTAAATAATTGAGTCTGGACCAGACAATCCAGTGATCAACAGCATGAGCATCGATCTGCGCAATTAGGAACCGATTGCATGTGTCAACCAAGCCAACGAGCCTGACCACCCGATCCCGTTGGTCGCCTCTTACGACAAGCATGGGTTACTGAAGGTTCATTCTAACCCGGACCTTCACGGGTCGGAATCCGTTATGGGTCTCCATGATATGTCCTTACGTTTATATTCTGGATTTCCTGGAAATAACATTCTGTTGAATGAGAAGCATCTTCTGAAAATGTCAATGGTATGAGAAGAATAAAGAACAACCTCTTGTACGAATTTTGAACTGAAATTTGGATCCAACTTGAAAATATTCGCGTGATTGAGTCTGGTTTTTACGCCGCTTTTAGCAATATTCCAGCAACATCACGTCGGGGGACACCAGAAATGGACTTCACATATTGTACCCATGTGGGAAATCGTGTTTTCAGCGTCTGAAGTGTATTAAACTTCAAAACGTTTGGAAAGATGTAAAGTATAGGTTTTATGTATCTTTGTCTTAGATGGCTATTAACTTTAAAATATTTGTTTTCATATCATTTTAGTTTCGGACCGACATGTTTTACATTCGCGAGGAATTTTAATATGTCGACTATATTCAGTCTCTAAGTTGTGTTAACTGAGCCAAATTACCGAATGTGAATCATTTATAATGAATAATGGTTCAACCACGGTTGCGGGTCCGGTGCCAATGCAGATAAACATAAATCTCATAGAGTCACTTTACTGCGCATTAGCGCTGGGACATCGCGCGCTCCGTGTCTGAATGATGCGTCTGTAGCAGGCCATGACTGTGTTA